GAGTGCACTTTAGTTCAGTTTAATGGAGGAACAAAAAAACAGATTACAGACCATATGAATCCGTATTCCAATCATGGTTATGTCAGATCTCAACCAGAGCGCCACCCATGTATCATTGCATCCTTGTTATTTACCAAAAGTTAAACAAGGACGACATGGCACTTGGAGTGGGAATCCGAACACGTTTTTGTACATACGTCGTAATAAAATAATTTAATTATTAACAAAAGTAAATAAAAAATTTTCCTTTATTTTTCGTTTCACCATATTTAAATTATGCTGCGCTTGGAAGGAAGTTTCAACAGCAACGATTGGTCGCGTCATATCCTTTTTTGGCCAATGAGAATGGAGACATCTTTGGCCGGACTTCTATTTCTAGGGTCTTTGAGCGGAACCAATCAAAAATCATCACTCGGTGTCCAAACTCTTTTGGTTCCTGCACAATGGACGCGGAAACGTTTACCGCGCAACAAAACATGACGCGGCACTCGGCAGTGGCAGTTGCTGGATTCACCCTGTATCCGATTTTCGTCGTACGACGCTCTTCAACCAATCAGAAAACAGAATTCCGATGAAATGAAGCAAAATCCATCGGAATCCTGTTTTCTGATTGGTTGCAGAGCGTCGTACGACGCAAATCGGATGCAGGGTGAATCCAGCATTTGAGTGAATTTTAACATCGTGGTACTTTGTTAATCTAGTGACTTTAATAATTTATGACTCAAGAATGCCATCTATTTCCGCTTAAACGAACGCCCGACAAAAGCGCGGGTAACCGTCCCTCAACCTCCAAACAGTCTGAAACAGTCCAAATTTGCAAAGAAGCTACAACTAGTTAAACGAGTATAGTTGTTTTGTCAGACCACTTTTCACGGCAGCTGCATTTTTTACTCTGGGATCACTGGAGGACGCTGAATTTATCAGTGTTAGCGTAAAAGAATCAACACAATGTTTGAGGCACGTTTGGTACAAAGCGCGATCCTGAAGAAGGTGTTGGATGCGGTAAAGGATCTCCTAACCGAGGCGACTTTCGAATGCTCTGACTCGGGGATTCAGGTCCAGGCGATGGACAACGCACACGTTTCCCTCGTCTCATTGAATCTCAGGAGCGATGGCTTCGACAAGTATCGTTGCGATCGAAATTTATCGATGGGGATGAGCATTAGTTGGTGAGCACGGACCTAATAATTTAAAGGTTATGCGCCGAACGACTGTCTCTTGAACAAAGAGGTTGTACTTGTGTTTCTTTTGGCTGCTTTTGCTTTATGTCTTGCTATATGAAGTGAAATAAATGCTTATGCAATTTATGAGGTTTGAAGTAGAAACGAAGCAAATTTTTGAGATATGCATACGAAAAGGATAGGTCTAGAATCAGAAAATTGTTATAATAATTTAATGCACTTTGTATAACAATAATCAATCACGAAACCTGCTTCCAGTATGTCAAAGATATTACGATGCGCTGGTGCAGAAGACACGGTAACCCTCAGAGCGTGGGACAATCCCGAGTCGGTCGTTTTTATATTTGAATCGCCCAACAAGGAGAAGCTAGCTGAATATGAGATGAAACTGATTAATATGGATCAAGAACATTTGGGTATACCTGTGAGTTTTACTTATCTTAAATTAATAGAGTAAATATTAATGAGCTTTGTACAATAAGTCATTATCTAAGTCAAAGCTGTTCAAGGTCAGTGTTTTTTTGGCTTGAAATCAACCGGTATTCACACCTATTACCATTCCTATTTCTTACTTTATTACTGTTTTGTCGTAGCGTGCGACGTTCGGTCTCAGTGACGACACTAGTTTGAAATCGTTAAAAATTTTTGACCTGTTTCTCACTGTTTAAAAGTATTCTGTACTAATATTACAAGATACTATCATTCATAATATATTTAACTATAAAAATATAAATAACAGAAAGACACAGGTCAATAACTATTAGCGATTTCAACCTAGTGCCATGAGACCGAGCATCGCGCACTATGACAAAATAGCAATGAAGTAAAGAATAGGAACGCACGGTAACAGGTGTGAATACTGGCACATTTCGATTTCAAGCCAAAAAACACCGACCTTGGACAGCTCTGATCTAAGCTCCAAGTCAGACTAATATTACATTCATCCATTTTTTGTCATACAACAAGCTTTTCAAGCCTGTCGATTAGCTACAGGACAGAAAGATTTTCTCAAATCTTTCTGTCCTTTAGCCACTTGATGTTTGAAAAATTTTATCATACAACAAGTGTAATATCAGCCTTAAGCTATAAGAAATTGATCAATCATAGTTAAATATGTATAAAACACTTGACTATGATTGGTCAATTTCTTATGACTTGTGATCTAAAGCTTAGATAATGACTTATTGTAGAAAACCTACATAGTTATCATTCATCAAGTAATTGCTTTACAGGAGACTTCATACTCGTGTGTTGTAAAAATGCCCACTGCAGAATTTACCCGTATATGTAGGGATTTGAGCCAATTTGGGGAATCTATAACTTTCGCATGTTCCAAAGAAGGTATAAAATTTAGTGCGTCTGGTGATTATGGCTCAGGTAAATATCAATGAAATATCAATGTATACATATACGCATACAAGATAAATATCATTTAATCAGGAGATAGAACAATTTTAAGCTTCAATACTGCAATTTTAAGTTTGGAAACCTTCGTTCTCATGCCTAACACTTATAATTAGCATTCTATCCCACTGTTCCACTACTTCCATAACTGTTCTCATCTCTAATTAATGTCTAATTGACTACATTCCTATACCAATATATAGCATGTAATTTGTTTTTCTCTACTTACGTCGTTGAAATGTAAACTCGACATTTTTCTCAATGTTGAGATTTTCTATGTCCAACAATAGATTGAAACTAATTGCAGAATTTCAGCTCTCAGTCGTTAACTGAAAGTATATTGAAAATTTTTCTAATCTTGTCAGATAGGTCATATTTTACTTTTCCTTGTTTGTTTTTACTTCCATACAAGATGTACTCATGGAGAGATATTTAAACACTAAATGAAATTGTAATAATAGACCAAGTTTTGTAGATGTATTTATATATGGATTTAATCAAAGTAGGAGTTGAAAACACTATAATGTTTATAAATAATGTTATACAGAATATTTGTTATAAAATAAGACGGAAATATTAATTTGCACAGAGACATCCTGTACATGCAGTTGAATAAGTGACTTACAAGCTGCTTTTATTTCTTTTTTTGCAGCTAACATCAAATTAGCGCAGACTGCAGACGCTGATAAGGAAGAAGAAGCAGTAATAGTTAATATGCAGGAACCAGTAAAATTAACGTTTTCTTGCCGTTATCTCAATTGTTTTGTTAAAGCTGGCCCTCTTTGTAACCAAGTTCAATTATCCATGTCTGACGACGTGCCTCTAGTATGTGAATATAAGATTGGCGATATTGGACACATCAGGTATTACCTAGCACCCAAAATCGACGATGAGGAAGAAAACTAAAAATATAACGATAGAAATAGAATTCATATACATTGAACTGTAATTAACGGCACTGTATTACGTTACTGATAGTTTTGGAAAATTTTGTCCTATTAACATTCGACATCGTCATATTTATTTCAATAGAAACTAAATTATTAATTGGCTTGACATAATTACAAGGAGATGATACCATACATGTATTTTACTGATCCAGAAAATTAAATATTCCGTTTTCCATTATTTGATATTGAGGTACAAGTAAGGCGAAGTTAAAAATACTTTTAAGGTAATATATTTTAATTTTACATTTAAAAGTTATTTGGCTCGTCACAGTGCTAGCGCAATGCAGAATTGACACTAAAATTTATAGTAGAGTGACACAATGATTAGTATAGCAAAATGGTGTCATCCTCTTAATCAATATTCACATTATTAATGTTTCAGAAACTGTGACAGTATTTTGATAATATCGCATTGTTCTTTTTTTATATGTATAAGAAGAACTCAATATATTTTCAAAAAATTTGATAAATTTTGAATGTTATATGTTATTCTTATATCCTAGCCTAGACCGAAATTTCAAATTTTGCTTAATGCAAGTACCTTATTTCTTATATGTTTGTGTGTATACGCTACTTTAATATAAAAATACATAATTAACTTACGAGCTGAAGGAATAAGAGGGCTATCATGGATGGAATAGCCTAGAAATAGTATACAGTTAAATCTTACACAATTTGGATTTATCCTATAATTACTCTAAGTAATTAAGTTAATAAGTAATCATTAAATATATTGATTTATACTATAGAATCATATTTTACACGCAAGCATTCCTCGACAGAGATATCTATAAATAGTAAAATCATTCATCATTTGTCCTCTCTTTGCTCTTGAACAAAAATCTGTTAACCCTTTTATATATATATGTGCACTACATTAAAAGGAAAAAAAGGAGGTTTAAAATATTCAAATAACACATTTTGGCAATATTTAATCAGCCTCTTTGGTATTAAGACCCTGATATTGCTTTCTTGTTTCAACCCAATCGAAAGTTGTTTAACGAGAGAGGAGTTCTATTATTTTCTATATTAAAAAGAATATTATATATAAAGAATGCGACACAACTACTCTTTAGAAAAAATAGTTTGTATAGATTTCTCTCCAATATGCAATTTTTTAAATGCGCTCAGTTATGTTTTCTTTCGGTGGAGATTCACACAGATCTTGACTCGTTTGTCGTCATGTCGTGCTCCGATTTGGCATCCATTTTATACGTATAGATACACGTTCAGTCTACGTAGTCATAATATTGAATATACATAAGATACTGTATGGTCTCTCCACAACTGAGACGCCATGCAGACAATACATACACACACGTGTGTATACACACACACACACACACACACACACACACACATATATATATATAGTCGGAAAGAAATGTGAAGGGTCTTTAAGCGTTCGTGCTACCATTACTTCCGTATAAGCTAGGATGTACGTATTTGTCATGCAGTGTCCTTAAATGCCTCAGCAAGTTGCTCTTTACATTGAAGCCTTTTTTACAATAAGAGCAAAGGAAAGGCTTTTCGCCCGTATGCGTTCTTTGGTGGATGACCATCGAAGCGTGACTCGGGAATTCTTTTTGACATATGTTGCATAACTTTTGGTGATTGTGAACCCTTTTCGGCTTAGGGGGCGCCGAATTGTTCATCAAGGCCAACTGCTCCTCCGTATGTTCCGTCTGTATGTGACGCACCCACTCTTGCGGCGTGGAATACATGTTACCACATAGATCACACTTCAGAGGAGGAAAGTCTTTGCTGTCGTCGTTTATATCGTCCTGAAACCACCGCGTTTTCTTCGTTTCACTATCTTTCGTGTGCGTATACGTTGTAAAGAATTTATGACACGGTACCTTTCGTTTCTTTCTCCGATTTTCAGTCATGTCAGCGTGCGTGAATTCTATATGTCTCACCCAATCCGACGGTCTGTTAAACGTTTGACTGCACATATCGCATGTCAGTGGGGTATACTCTTCCTCCTCCATATCTCCATCCTCATCCGCACTATGTACGATCTCCTGCGACAACAATAGAGCAAACGTTATTATCTTAAAATTTTATTATATTTAAAAAAAAGCAACTAATTGTCTATGGTAGCTTTAACTTTACGCACTGGTTTGATATCGATTTCATGGTCTATCGTGAGTGATTCCGACGGATCGATCGTTTCTTCCCAATCGATCGGCTCGTCCTTTACTAACAACTCCAAGTTTAGTTCAGTCTAAAAAAGAAAAAGAATATTAGGCTTTTCGTTAGTAAACGAGAGTACTTCTCTTTATTGCATTATTGCTAAACCTAAAAAAATTAGCTCACGTTTTCACCACCTTCGCTCTTGGACTTATTCGACTCGACGTCGCTGTTAACGGCTTTCTTCTTTTTGCCGTTTGTCTCGAGGTTTTCCTTGTTCTTGCTCTGCTCGTTATTCTTCTCCTCCGAGACTTTCTTGGTCTCAGATTCGTTGGTCTTATCCTCGATTTTCTCGGTGCTCTTCCTCTCAACCGACTTTGCGGGCTGTATATTATTTTGGCAAGCCGTGGCTGCCTGCTGCGCATTTTCGATTACCTTCTCCGCGGTCGGTTGTACCAGTTTGATCTTTTGTATTTGTCCGGTCAGCTGCGACGTTTCCCGCTTGTCGCGTTCGATTTTCTGATTATTCGATTGTATGTTCTCCTTCTTGCTGCTGCCGGTATTTGATCTCCAGAGTCCACGCACACGTAGTATGTCGCCGGCCTTGAGGACTCCTTCCAGCTGATCGTTGGTCACAGTGGCTTCGCCACTGTACATGTACTGTATTAGGATTTTTAACGTGCGGTATCCTATCTCCGTAGGCAACACCTACGGCATGAAATAACGTACGTCATTCCGTTATTCATCATCCACACGTGGTTTCGAATCTATTTGATAAGAGGTGAGAAGAACTACGGCGAAGAAAATGCATTAGCTAACGCTAATTGTATATAAGTTTGTACTCAAGTGAGAAAGATTTGGATTACCGACCACGATTATCGGAGCGTTGGTGTTGGCGCCGAAATGGCACGTTTGAAAAATGTGACTGAGGTAAGACGAGCAGGCCGCGAGGACGAATCGATGGGCCGCCACGTGCCGCCCGCAGGACGTGGCCAGTAAAACGTCCGCGAAGGATTCTGAGTGGAGCAGAGTCGCGACGGAGCTGTGCAGATGCGCTCCGTAGCTGTGCCATTTCAACTGATAATTCTCCGAGGCGGCGATGGCCATCTTCTCTGTATTGGACAAAAGCGATTACCATCTGTATTACAAAAGGCTATTATTAAATAATTAAAAATTCAAAGATATAATATTGTCTGCGTCGCACTTTGCGCACTAAAATGCACAATTTAATTTTATTATGTCAATTACATATATTGTGTATTCTACGTGTGATCGCGATGCACTTAATTTAAGTAAGAAAAGGAAGCCCGCATTGCATAGCGTAATCTCGTCGATAAAGCGATATATAATAATAAACCGATCAAATTGTACATAGTTTTGGTACATAGATCACAGCACCAAATTTCTCTCCGTCGGAGAGATCTTGCGCGTGATTTTTATCCATATCGCTATCGATCTAGCGTCGCGATTAGCGATTTTAGCGATTTTAACGATTGCGGATAGTCATCTGGAAAGGCGGCCGGGACTCGGAAGAAGCTATACACGTCGCGTCGCTCCCTCGCCACGAAGCCATCATCGTCTTACGATCTCGCGATCCAGCGAATGATTCTTCTTGAATCTTCATTCATTCCACTTGATTCTTTATTTATTGTGCAAGTGCAATCGTATCAATCATCCGCGTTGCTCCGATCCGAAAAGAATTACGGGACGATCGAAAGCGATTGTCCTTGTAAATCGATCGAGTATTTATAATTATACGACGTACGATATATTATCCTCGAGCTTGACGCGGGATCGTTACAGACGATCACCCGCACACGCGAGGTGTCAAGTGTTTCCTTGGTCACGCTTAATCCAATCCGCGCTCGTCGGTCGTCCGCTGTCGCCGCCCGTACAGAGATCAATGCAGGCCGATAAACGGCAAGTTGCCCGCGTCAAAGTATCACTCCCGCCGTTTGCTTGCAATTCAATAGCTTGCAGCTATATCAATCGAATTCCCACCTAGACTTCCACTCTTCTTTGCCGCAGATTTACTCGCGTGTTTATTCAATAATATCCCTGCTTTCCTTAAATTCCCGCCGATTGCTGCCGATGTTGCGCGCGTATATACCCCTTTTACCTCGAATATTCAATCACACCGCGAGAACACTTGCAGGTGACACCGCGCGTTGATTACGACCGCGTTGACGAGCGCTCATATAGCTCGTAAATCATCCACGGGGAAGAGAATGCGCGTCGCGTCGCGCACCCTCTTTCCCTTCTCCCCTCCCTCCCTCCC